ATTTTCTCTGCAGTCATATCACTCACTATTTTTGGGTCTTTAGACTTTTCTTTAGTGATGTTTTTCTCTCTCGCTGCTCCGCTGTTCTTCAGCATATCTTGGAGGTTCGCGATGAGGCTTTCATCATTCTTCTGGCTCTTTAATAATTTTAATATCTCTGACCTGAGTTCGTTATTCTCTATCTCGATTTCCTCCTGGTCATCATTTTCATCTATTATTTCTTCGTCTTCAGTGGTGTATTCTTCGGATTCTCTCGAAATTGCGTTTGTGGATTCGTTGATTATTTCTTGTTCTGTTTCCATTTCTTTGCTGTAGGCCCCGGTGTTGGGCCTATCTTTCTTAGACATTTTTAAGTTTTTATTGAGTCAATTAACCATCCTCTGCTACCAGTTGTTGCAATATTTTCAGGATCAGACTCAATAAGATTAGTAAGAGTTAAAGGTTTAAATATATTTCCTTTTATTTACAATAGGCATTCTATATTCACTGAATATTCACAGATAGAAGCAAAGAAAAGGGTGCATGTAGCTCCTTATATATACAATGGGTGGAGCTATATGTGGGAGTGGTGAATTATGAATACATTAAGAAGTGGAGAATAAGTTAACCCCTGATACCCCGTTCATATACTATTTACACATTAGAGAATAAGGCATTTACATCTGACAAAGTTAATCTTGGAATTTATCTATGCTGATCTGAGTGCTGATTACTGTGGAGAGGTGCTGGAGTCTTTTTCTCTTTTGGGCTGGTTGATTGTCTCTTTTGCATAGTCTATAGATGTTGTTAATGTCTATGTGTCTATTGATGGCTGATCTGTCAGAGTGCCAGGCTCCTAGATCTTTTCTGACATCTCCATCTCTCTCTGTCTCTGTCTCTCATATCTATCTATCTATCTATCTATCTATCTATCTATCTATCTATCTATGCAAAAAATTAAAATCTCGGGTGTTTTCCCGCGTCATGTTAAATAAGTTAGTTAAAATGTTTAAAATTCTGGTTAAAATCCTAGCTTAAAGTCTTCCAAAAATCCTTACAGAGCACTCTGCAAGGTCCTTTAAAACCTTAGCTAAAATCCTACCAGTACCTTAAAAGTTTTCTTTATAGCAACGTTTCGACAGGCTCACAACCCTGTCATCTTCAGGCTCTTATTTAGTTTAGAAGCTATGGGTGTGTTGCGAGGTCGGAGCTGTCGCTTTTCTATGTTTGCTGCTGCTGAAGTATGCTGGTTAGCCTGTAACTCTGTGTTGTGATTGGAGGACAGCAGTTTTTCTTCCTGCTTCCTCATCCTGGCTGTTTGGCTACGTGTTACAGGCCTAACTTTCTCAGGTTCTCTATTATTATCTGTCTGCTGTAGAGGGGAAAGGATTCTGGTAGGCATCCCAGCCCCCTTGATTGTTAGTTGAGATCTCAGCCTGTCTTCTGGCTCCATCCTCTCTCTCTCCCTATTGCTAGCCACCCTCTGCAAAGAAGGAAGAATTCTGGCAGGCCTTACAACACCACTGGTTGCTTGTTGGAATCTCTGCCTCTCTTCTGATGTTAACACTCAAGTTTCTCTCAGTGCAAGTCCCCAAATACTTGATAACCTAGAGGCGTCATCCTGTCTGTTCATATTCTGCGGCCTCTTTTCAATTTCGATGACAATTTCAATTTCTATCTATCTATCTATCTATCTATCTATCTATCTATCTATCTATCTAAATGGAGGTGAAAATGCCCAAAAGGTTTTACCATAAAACTGCTAATATTTAAGATGAGATAAGATTACAACACTGAACTATGTCTTCAGTATTTTTATATAACCTAAAACTGTTTTTTTTTTAATCTAATAGTGGATGTTTGGTTGGACTCTAGAAGGATGGAAATCTGTAGTCTTTGTCTTGTTATAAAATTACACTACCTAGCATCTTGCGCAATTAGCCATCATGGTGCAGCTAATAAAAGTTGTAATTTCATAAAAAACCAAAAAGCCACAAGGTTCCCTAATCTTGATCTAGAGCGTAATCCCACTGTGCTGTTATTTGACATTTCCTTGTGAAATCATCTCTGATTTCAGTGTCATCTTGAAAACTAAGGGACATTGAGACAATAATTGGAATATTTTCTTGATTGCGATATTCTCTTAATTTCCAGTACAAAGAGACTGTGCCTACTCTGTCACTGAAAATTCATAAAGGATGTGGCTTTCTTCGCTCCCCAAAAGCAATAAAGATCTCCATCACTGATACTGTAAGACTGTCTCAACCACGATTCCATTATTTTGGGTTCTGTTACGTGATCAGAAATCCTGACTACATGCACAGAGCATTCAGAATATCACAGACGTTGACTTAATGCAGAAAAGGAAATATTACTTTTCTCAAGGATCTCATTATGATACCTAACTGCAAAGATGAGAAATATTCTCTCTTTGCTTATTCCACCCCTCTAACCTACGCTTTTTAAAATTTTTCCTATTGGACACCAGATTACTGTAGTGTGCTTTACATGGGCTTGACTTTGAAGATAGTTCAGAAAGTTATTGCCGCATAAGCCAGGTCTTAGAGATGCTTTATTATGGGCGTCAATGAGTTTCTGGATTCAATATAAAATGCTATTTTTTTTTTACCTATAAAGTTAGACTTCCAGGTTTCTCCAGGAAACCTCCTTCCGGTAGAAGTAGCCCATTCTATTCACTCATCCCAGGAAAGTTTCTCAAAGTCTCCCATTTGTACAGGTGGCAAGATGGGATAGTCTAGAGATAATGTTTCTCTATGGCAGGTCCTCTCTAATACCAGTAGCCCTCGGCTTAAGACCACAAATAGAGACCAAAGTTGATTTTGGTAAGTAAGACAGTCATTGAGTAAGTTTTACACTATTTAATGACTCTTCTTGCCACAATTGTAAAGTGAATGACTGCAGTTTTTAAGTTAGTGACAGGGTTGTTAAGTGAATGTGGCTTCCCCATTGACTTTGCTTCTCAGAAGGTTGCAAAAGGTGATCACATGACCCTGGGACACTGCAACCCTCATAAATAAGAATTACCGGTAGTTGCCAAGTGTCCAGATTTTGATCAGGTGACTATTTATTTATTTATTTATTTATTTATTTATTTATTTAATTTATATACCGCCGTTCTCCAACAGGACTCAGGGCGGTGAACAGCCATGGTAAAACACATGGGGATATTGCAACTATGGGGATATTGCAACTATGTAAGCGTGACATATGGTCATAAGTCACTTTTTCAGTGCCATTTGTTCACTAAACAAATAGTGGTAAGTTGAGGACTACCTATCATCGAAAGTAGAGTTTTCTCACTCAGAAAGCCTATTGACATTGTATTTGGGACAGCATTAGGGACATTGTCAAGGTTCAGAAATGTCATGATTATTTGTTATGTATTTTCTGGTTTCAGTGGTGCTTTATTATTTTTTCTTGCTCTGTAATAATTACTTTGGATTTAGTATCACATGTGGTATATACCCTGTTTCCCCTAAAATAAGATATCCCCTGCTAATAAGCCCAATCGGGCTTTTGAGTGTGTGCACTAAAATAAGCTCCCCCCCGAAAATAAGCCCTTCCCAAAAATAAGCCCTCCCCAAAAATAAGCCCTTCCCAAAAATAAGCCCTCCCCAAAAATACTGAACCGCATGCGCAGCTGGTCCCCGCCATTTCCTCTGGTTAGGGTTAGGGAGACAGAGCTGGAAATCAGGTAAGATGACAAGAGGATCCCTGTCTTGCTCCATGTGCCTCAAAATAATAAGACATCCCTGAAAATAAGGCCAAGCACTTATTTCGGGGTTCAAAAAAATATAAGACAGGATCTTATTTTCAGGGAAAGATGGGTATGTGTGTATTGTCTATGTGTGAGTGGTCTCACTTTTAACTGCCACAGCTATTTCTCAGCCCTCTTCCATTATCAGTTCCTGGCTCTATGACCACAGTGAAACTCTGTGTATTTTAAGCCCAGACATCATTCTGCAAGTAATCCATATCGACAGTGAAGATAACCTGCCCCAGAACTGCTTTTTATTTCATTACCAGACAGTTGATAGGCAGTCAATGGAAAAATGAAGAGTGAGAAGGAAGCTAATGTCAATCAATATGTCAAAAATTCTGGGCTGCCTACCAAAGATGATTTGAAAACCTACAAGAGAGGAACTCTTTCCCTAAATGGAAATATGAATTTTGCTAAGCATGTAGCCAAACTTAACATCATGTTATGGATAGCCTTGTAAAACAAAGAGAGAGTTCATAGCAGAATAGGAAATGCAATCCCTACGGGCACCCACTATGTCTGTGGACACCACCCTTGGCATCTACCAGGCTCAGCAGTGCAGAAGACTTTGCAGAAAATAGCATGTGGCAAGGCATATGCCAGCTTTTAGCTTCACTTTATTTCTAAGAAGGCCTTATAGGCATCCTGTCAAGTTAAACAGGGGGCATTTTCCTTCGTTTGACTGCTATCTACCTGCTTATAAAAAGTCAGAAATAAGCCGGAGTGGAGCTGGGAAGGTGGCAAGAATAACCAGCTAATTTGTTTTGCAATAAGTGAGGGTTTTAAGATAGTAGAGAGTATACAACGTCAGAAAGCATAGCAGCTATTTTTGAGGCTTTTCAAAATTCCAAGAGCGCCAATAGTCTCAAGAAAGCAGCCTTGTCCTCCCTCAACTCGTGGAGGAAAATCAATATTTGTGTCCTGGCTTGAAGTTTCAGAAAGTTAATCCCTATTTTTTTTTTTTCAAATAACAGTGGCAAAATTTCCCCTTTTCATTTCCGTAGCATTAATACTGCATTGTGTTTGCTGTCACTTAAGCAGGGATTTGCACCCTCTGGCTTGCCACCATGCTGAGAAACATCAGGCTGTATCTCTTCCTCCCTTTCAGTGGAAATGTGATAAATGAATGTTTCAGAGAAACATTTCAATAGCACATTATTTCCATAACGAACTCTAGAACACTGAGAGGCAAGCGGATCGGTGACGTGGAGCTCAGCAGAAACTGCAGCATTACGCATACCTTTATAACTGTTTATTTGTTCTGCATTTGGTTCTATCACATCGGTATGAATGATCACGCCAGGATATTCCGACTGTAATCTTGCAAGAATCTCAAGGTCAATTTCCCCTAGGACACAAAGAAGAACAAAGAAACCAAAAACTCGTATCATTTTTTGCTAGAAGTGTGTGGGGGTTTACTTGGTTCAAATGCAAATGTCAAATCAGTTTCCAAATGGCATATAATGAATGACAAGATGAAAAGCATTGCTCTATTACAGAGGTGTAAAACTTGATTTCATTGAGGCCAGCATCAGGGTTGTGTTTGACCTCGGAGGGCCGGGGATGGGGATGGCCAGGATGGGTACGGCCAGCTCAACATCACTCATGTTGGGGTGCCTGTGGTGGCCCAAGCTCTCTGCCAGTGAAAACGGGCTAAAATAGAAGTAGAAATATGAGGGGGAAAATAGTAAAAACAGATATTAAGATGAAATGAAGTATGATAGAATTATGAGAAGGTTTAGAGTTGAAAGATGACAATAGAAACTATATGTTAGTAAAATCAAAAATGAAAATGGACTGTAATTATTAAGAATAATATTGATATGATTATTTATATTGAAATGTATGAAACCCAGGAATCAAACCATTCACGAAATGAGATGTACAAAAATAAAAAACTTATTTTTTTAAAAAAAGACTTGTGTTGTGGGCGCCTGTGGTAGGCCGAGTGCTTTGCTAGTGAAAATGGGCTCCCGAGTTCTGTTCTCAGCTGCGACAGCTTCCTGCAACCCTCTGCCAGCGAAAACAGAGCTCGGGAGGGCCACACACGGCCCTCCCGAGCTCCATTTTCACTCGCAGAGTCCTGCGGGCTGGTTCTTTGCTGTTTCCGGGGCGGCCCCACATGGGCTGGATCCGGCCCCTGGGCCTTGAGCTTGGCACCCCTGCTCTGTTATGCTCAACTTATATCCCATCATTATTAAGACCTTGAGACAATTCTACTAAGATGGCAGAATATTAGAACAACTACATTGGGCTAGATGTAGCTAGTCATTCTTTTGTCAACTCATATGAATCTCGCGAACAAAACATGAGTAAAATAGTACTCTTATCACTGGTGTTACACCAGCAAATGGAATCGATAAGCAATCTTCTTCTGAACCTGATGGTGACGAAGAGCCACCATGACTACTACTCATTAGTTTTATACTTAATAGTTTTACACTTGTGAACTTTGTTTTAATGTACTTTAAAAACTATCCCAATTCTGCTGCCACCACATATGTGGCAAATGTATTTTTATTGTATTTTGTATATAGAACAAACCAAATTTAGGATTTTTTCCCCCTATCTTGTTCTTGTTTACTTGCCATTTTTATTCCTGGACAAATTATTATTCATCATTTTCGTTGACCATCTTACATGTATTCTTAGCTCTATAATATCTTTTCCAAAGTATTGGGATCTATAATTGTTACATCATGGATACCTACAAAGGCTTAGCAAAATCTATCATTTGTATCACTTTTAGAAGATACTTTACACTATGATCCATCGATAAGGCTCCATCCATCTGTCTATCATCTCAACTTATCTATACAATTCTTTACAAAGAAGTAGAATGGATCTATCATACCCAGATGCTGAAATAGATAGACAGATAGACCTACTCATAATTGGCAGCTATTCAGTGCTAGCCAATTCTAAACAGTGTAAAAACAATTCATTATAATAGAAAGGAAAAAGAAACAAAATGCTGATGGCATTGCATGTGATAGCATTGTATTTATGTTGGATTTGGTCAAAGAGCCTCTTAAATTTACATGCAGAAGATGGAAGCAAATGCTAGATTCAATCATTATTGAACTATCTTAAGGCAGCCTAGTGTTCTTCAGGTACACCATTCCTAGCCAATATGGTCAGGCTGATTGGGGATAACTGGAGCTGTTATCGACTCATCTGGAGATCTTGTATTTTTATTGATCGAATGGATAATGTATTCATTCCCATTCACAGGAAACCAATCCGTTGCCCTAGGTTATTTTAAAAGCTCCTCTTCACCTCAAACTCCTGATTTGTAATTTAATCTTCTACCTTAATTGAGTTCATTTAGTTATTTATATGCAAACAAGGGCTTAGGGCATTTCAGAACCAGTTCTCTGGCAGCCTGAAAATCAATTGACAACTATCAGTTAAAGCTCTAGAAATTATTTAAGGACTCTGATACAATTACCTTTAAAGGGCTACCACTATGTTCGCCATTAAATTACCAATTAAACTTTTCAAGGAAATAGATTGTTTAGAGTCGAGTCACTATTCTACCACATAATAAATGTCTTCTGTGATTAGAAGGGGATGGAGTTGGCCACATTAATAAGATAAAAGCTGTAAGCAGAACATACTTTCTTATAGGTGGGAATGACACCAGCTCACTATTCACATGACCATTTAAAGCTAGACATTCCTAGCTTTGCTAATGTAGCATTTTGCTCTCACAAGCTTTTCCATACCGACTGTCAACACTAGTATAATGAACAGCTGGGAAGGACTTCTTCAGTAGCAGAATTGAAATGTTTTTACATAAATCATTCAAATGAATAAGAAATGTGTCAAAACTTTGGAGCACATTGAGCAACTATCCTGTTTATCCGAAAATAAGACATCCCCTGATAATAAGCCTATTTGGGCTTTTGAGTGCATGCACTAAAAAAAGCCACCCCCTGAAAATAAGCCCTCCCAAAAAATATTTAAATGCAGAGCTGGAAATGAGGTAAGATGGCAAGAGGAGCCCCATTTTGCTCCATATGCCCCAAAACAATAAGACCTCCCTGAAAATAAGGCCAAGAACTTATTTTGGGGTTCAAAAAAATATAAGACGGGGTCTTATTTTTGGGGAAACACGGTAGCATTCTACATGTGATCCTCAATTTTCTTCTTTGCTGCCCAGACACTTTGCCACTAAAAATACTGAACAAAGGACCTAGGAACTGGGCTAAATCATAAGATGCAGATCCCGTAACTCTTAGCATGACTTCTGCTGCATACCAGTAGCCTACCACAGACACTAATAGTTGAATGGGGATCAAATAATGGAGCTCATCTGATCCTATAAAATAGCCAATTCTGTCCAGGTTCTTAATCATTTGAAATCTTATTAGTTGCCTTTTACTTTTAAGAGGCTACTAGTACAGCTACTAGTGCTATAAATAAATATCACTGTCTTCATGAGTCGTACAATCTTTCTGCTGGTGGTATTCAGTGAATAACATAACAAAATTGAATTGGTTTGGTATGGCATGGTAACACTTTGAATGTATTACTTTGCAGAAAGAGTAGTGGAAACTTGGAGCCAACTTCCAACAGAGGTAGTAGGTCAATCATCAGTAACTGAGTTTAAACATACTTGGGATAAACACGTATCTATCAGCCCCCCCCCAAATTAAATAATTAAATAATTAAAAACCCTCAAAGGCCAGATTTGATCGATCACTAAGTCCGTTGTCAGTTTTCTATGTTTTTTTATGTTTCATGGTATGGTGTGGTGTGGTGTGGTGTGGTGTGGTGTGGTGTGGTGTGGTGTGGTGGTATGGTATGGTATGGTATGGTATGGTATGGTATGGTATGGTATGGTATGGCATGGTATTTAAACAGTCAACTTCAGTGATTATCATTGATTAAATGACTCTTAAATATTAGAGTTATTACATTGATTTTAAGACTACAGGCAAATATTTGTTTCATAGCAAGGGAAGTTTGGAGTTTTTCTTCATTATTGATTCACATGGGTGAAAAAAGAGTGGCCTGTCCTGATCAATATGGCCTGATCAAAGGTTGAGCCCCCTTTTTGCACTATTTTGAAGAGGGAGGCTAATGGGCAAAAGTCTTGTGGAGTCTTCAGGTACCCATTTCACTCCTTAACACACATACATCAGGGGTGGGTTCTAAATTTTTTTACTACCAGTTCTGTGGGCGTGGCTTATTTTGTGGGTGTGGCTTGGAGGTCATGTGACTAGGTGGGCGTGGCTAGCTGGTCAGAGTCATTTCTGGAAGGTCCTTGCACTTACGACCAGTCCTCGCACTTACAACCCAACTCATTTGTTTGCTTTTAACACTGATCAGCTGTAGGACAGCCCTTTGAAGCCCCGCGGCAAGAGTTTAAACAGTTTTTTTCCCTCTAGTCATCAGCTGGGACTCAGGAGGCAGCAATAGATTGGGGGTGAGATCAAATAAAAGGTAAGAATAACGTGGGGGGGTTGGGGGGGTGGGAGGGCGGGGGGGAGAACTGGTTCGGTGACGTCATATCGTCACAGCTACAGGCTCAGCCGAACCGGACCGAACCGGGAGGAACCCACCACTGACATACATATCTGTGTCCTGGCTCTACCACTTTCAGAATGAGCTCCTTGATCTATTACACAAAATGTAGCATAGCTCTTGAGCCAAGAAAATGTATGCATAGAATTATGTTATCCATAGAATAGCAGTTAACATCCCGTTTCCATTTTGCCCCATGTCTTTGTCTCAGCCCTACATTTAAGCATCCTATCTTGCTCTGCTCTTTTTAACCACAAAGCCCATACCATTCCAAAAACAGAAGAAAAAACTCAGGTCAATAAATAAGGATGTCAGCAGCTCTTTTTTACTGCTACAGCATGGACTGAGTACTTCATCATGACTAAGGGAAGACTTTTTAAGGTTTAATTGCTCCTATTTGGGGATTGTTGTTGTTGCTTTTTCGGTTTTAAATGTTTCTGTAATAATTTATGACTTAAGTCATAATGACTCAATCACTTGAAAAAGAAATAAAATAAAAGTAAATTCTGGTAGTAAAATAGATAGCAAATTCAAGCATCCCTAAATTTCCAATAAATCCATAACTTTGGGGGGGGGATGAAATGTAATTTTTAAAAAATACAAAAAACACTCACCTAATATCAGTACTGCTCAAACCCCTGTCAGAACAAGAATGTTACACTGTTTGGAAAGCCTGCAAGATGAGAGCTAAATGAACTTCAGGGAGTATTTTGTTTCAAAGTGCTGGGGCTACCACCAAGAAGATTCGCTTCCAAACTCTACTTTGTTAGTTGGTTGGTTTTGCTTGGGACCCTAAACATTCACTCTTGGGATGATAGTCTGGAATAGGAGAATTCTAGTTAGAAGAAATGGTCCGGCATGTAAACAGGAGCTGGGGCATGTAGGTGAACACCAGAAGGTTGCTTAGAGACCTACCGGCAGATAATATCATTGGGGCTATGTGCTAAAGTGACTCATCATCTTCACCATCTGGATCCTGATCTTTTGTGCAACTGCACTTTGCTTTCTAGACTTTATTCAAAGGCAGCAGCCCTGTATAAAGTGTGCTACATTCATCTAAACCTGTAGTCATAAGCAGTGGTGGGATTCAAATAATTTAACAACTGGTTCTCTGCCCTAATGACCAGCTGGGTGAGCATGGCCAGGGGATGTGACAGGCAGCACTCAGCCTCCCTGAAGCCTCCTGAGAACAAAAACAGGCAGCAGGGGTGTGCACTGCCCCCCCCTGCCCCCCATATTGGGCCTAGGAGGCCTCCCTGAAGCCTCCTAGGAGTGAAAACAGGCCCGTTTTGGGCCTAGGAGGCCTCCCTGCATTTATCTGGGAGCCAAAATGGGGCGTGTGGGGACTCCTGGAAAGGGCGGGATGGGAAGGGGTGGAGCCAGCCAGCAATTTAACTACCGGTTCTCCCAAACCAGCCCGAACCGGCTGAATCCCACCACTGATCATAAGGGCATAAGTCACTGTCATAAAGTTACCCTAAATCAGAAAGGATTGTAACTATTGTACCAACTGAAGCTGGGCAAAAAGCCCCCATACCCTTGGCCTTCACCAGTGAAAATGTGAGTCTTGGAGAACCTGCAAGTCCCACAGAATCTGGCTGGTCATCATGAGAATCAAAATGCTACACTAAGATGAGTCTTGGCCTTATCCAGAAGGCCTTTCCTGTATGCTTAAAAAGTCATTTGTCACAAAGGAAATGAAACACAGAATAAGAAATTGAAAAGCCCCATCCTATTCTTTTTCTTTTTTGGCTAGCCAACATTCCAGTCTTCTGCAGAATTATATGAAACAAACTCAGTGTATCTGTGAGTGTCTGATTCTATATATAGGTTTAATTTGCACGTTATTCTCATTATCTGATTCTTTTTTGCCCATTCATCCTCACGTTGCAGAACATCCATTTGCCGGGAGGTATGTTTTAAATTATTTCTACGTTCCCCCAAGTACATTAATGTAATATAATACCCTGCATATGTAACAGCATTCATAATTCAGATTGCTAAATAATATCTTTGTGTTTTGACTCACCTGAACCACCACCAACACTTAAAACGTTGATTTCAGTTTTTCCATTACTGATGCTAGAAGGGAAGGACAAATTCATAACATCAAAAGCTGTTCAAAAGGTCTGGTGACTTGCATTTCTAGAAAATGTCCTCTAGGAACCTCCCAGTCTTTTATTCCAGCCTGATGTGGCTCAATAAGGGTGGTCAGGATGGGGCTATGTATATAGATGGACTGCAGACTTGTGGTTAGCAACAAGTTTAAGTCTCAGTGACTTTGGGCTATCAGAGAAAGAGAGAAGCATGTACTGCTTTCACCTAAACTGAACTAAGTAGCAGACAAATAAGAGCAGGAAGTCTTTTCAGCTCCTTTAGTTGAACATGTCAACCAGCAAAAAAATATATAAAAAAATAAAAAAATAAAATGCTAATGGTTATATTGATGGGAATTTTGAATAGTGCTAGAGAGATCCACAATTTTTTTTAAAAAAAAAAGTGGGTTGCATGAAATGGAATGAAAAGTTAAGTTGCACACAATTAAATACATTAAAAAGCTCACTCAGATTAATTTTATTTGTTTAAAACATTTATATAGCCACTTACCTTTCAACTAACTCTGGGCAGCTCCCAATCCAAAATTAAAAGACATATAAAATAATATTTTATTATAAAACTCAACCAATTGAAGCCTTCAAAACAACAAAAACCTGAAACCAAACCAGTTCTAATCTGGGATTATCTAGTCTTTTCTCAATGATCTAATGTATGAAAGCATCTTTCACAGGGGTGTCAAACTCAAGGCCCGTGAGTCAAATCCAGCCCGCGGAGTGTTTAGATCTGGCCCATGGGGCCGGTCTGGAAACAGCAAAGGACCAGCCCACAATGTCTCTGCCAGCAAAAATGGAGCTGGGGGGGAGGCTGTGTATGCCTCCCCGTTCTCCATTTTCACTGGCAGAGGGCTTCAGGAGGCCATCGCAGACAAAAATGGGGCATGGGGGGCTGCCCATGCCCCTCCGGTCTCCATTTTCACTGGCAGAGGGCCAGGGGTGGGTTCTACTTACCTTTACTACCGGTTCACAACAGGATTGCGCATGCATGCTCGCTTCACTCGCGCGCATTGCCAATAACGACATCTGGGGTGGTGGGTGGGGTTTCCCGCCGGTTTTACTACCGGTTCTTGCGAACCGGTCCAAACCAGGGGCAACCCACCACTGCAGAGGGCTAGCAAAACAAACTCAAAACAAAACAAAAGGAGAAATGTTTCCCCTTTTGAATTTGAGCATTCAAGAAGGGACAGGAAAGAAGAAAGGGAAAGAGAAAAGACAAAGAAAAAGAAAAAGAAGGAAAAATGGGAAGAGAACAAGGAAGGAAAAATAAGGAAAAAGGGGAAGGAAGGAAGGAAGGAAGGAAGGAAGGAGGGAGGGAGGGAGGGAGGGAGGGAGGGAGATTATAATGAGAGTGAGGGAGGGTCTCAGGGAAGTCCTGCCTTAACACTTGGCTACCACAGGTGCCCAGACACAAGTGATGTTGAGTGGGCCGTGCCCACCATGGCCATGCCCACTCCCAGTCATGCCCATCCCCGGCCTCTGAAGTCAAACACAACCCTGATGCAGCCCTCAATGAAATTGAGTTTGACATCCCTGATCTATCAAATATTTCTAAGAACATGTCTGTCATGTATTTACCTGGATATTAATTGGGGCAGCTTCTTGTGAATGAAATCCAGCATGCACTGATGTTCAGTTGACTTCTTGAGGAAGACTTGAAAAGTTTCAACATAATGACTGTGATTCGAGAACAAACTCCTCATGGTCATGATAATTGCCAACCTACTTAAAGATATAGGTCAAAAAACAGAAAGTAGACTTATTTGGCTCACGTTTAGGAAAGGCAGAAGACAAGGAAGAGTGATGGGAAAAGTAAGAACAGTCTCAGTCCTTGTCCAACCTTGGAGAGGGTTGCAAGGCTTGTTCAACTTAAGGCAAGTAAAGCAAGTAAGGAAAGCATTTGCTGAAACAGTATATTGGCATTTATAGCAGATTTTGCCACAAGATCTTGGCTGCCTGCAGAACAGAGCACCCAGCCAGGCTCTTTGGAAAACAGAATCAGAATCTAAGTAATAATAAGGAATTTTTACCCAGAAATGTTTTGGAAGATAGTTCTGCGTCCCTAAGGGGATATTGTGGGACCAGTTTAAGACTAGCTCAAATTCTCTTTTATCCTGGCAATCCCTTGGGAATTTGAAAAAAATATATAATAGGTTCATCTTAGAGGGGGAAATTAAACTTACAATACTGTGTCATCTTCAAACATTTTTTAGAAGGGAAAAAAACTCAATTAAAGAGTTTTAGCAGAGCCTGAGGCATTGTTCTGAAGTGATTGTTGCCCATCCTATCAGAATATTATACTGCAGACTACTGGACAGCAAGGGTGTCAGATTCAAATAGAAACAGGGACTACTAAACCCTGCATAAGGACCCTGCGTGTTGTATGTAGAAGTCCACACAGGTATATTTGCTCATACATCCCGGTTTGGGATAATGAAAATGAAATGAAAGCCAGCTGGGTGATCTTCAGTCAGTCCCTCTCTTTCACCCAGCAGACCTTGCAGGGTTGTTGTTGTGGGGAAAATAGGAGGAGTGTTAGGTATGTTGGATGCCTTGAGTTATACAGTATATCTAAGAAAAGGTAGGAGAAAAAAATCAAATGCTAATAATAATCCTTTATACAGCAACACAACAAGAGATAACCGATACAGTAGAAGAAACATATCATTGCATTTATTATTACAAATTGACTATTTGTTTCAGAACTTATGTATATTTATAGGCCCTTGAATTTTTATAGTATGTGTCTGTGTGTTTGCGTAATCACACACACAGTTAGATATATAGATTATCTCCTTCCCACTCTCAGCTTCCTCCCAGCCTACCGTTAAATAATACAAGCTTCTTCTTCACCTCCTAGCCCCACTTTTTACCTCCCTGAAATGTCCCTTCTAATTTCTAATATCCCATGTATAAGGCAGGGGTGAAATGCTACCGGTTTACTCCGGTTCGGGCAAACCAGTAGTAAAAAAAAGTTACCAGTTCAGGCGAACCGGTAGATAGCTACCAGTTCGGTTGAACCGGCAGTTTAAAAAGCTTTAAAAAGTTTTAAAAAGTTTAAAAAGGGGTTTAGCTTTGCTACACAGCAGGAAATCCTGCTTTCTAGCAGCTAAACTGCACTGCACAGCTGATCCCCCCTGCCGTTGTTCTACTTACCTTCCCAAGCCTCCTTTTGTTGTGTACTGCGCATGCGCGTGCACACAGAGTGTGCATATGCCACACAGGGTGCATGTATACAGGGTAGCGCACGCAGTGCATATGTGCGGCCAGCGAACTGGTAGCAAACCAGTTTGGACTTCACCACTGATATAAGATAAATGTAAAGGTTCCTCTTGCCCATATGTGCTAGTCATTCCCGACTTTAGGAGGTGGTGCTCATCTCTGTTTCAAATCCGAAGAGCCAGCGCTGTCCAAAAACATCTCCGTGTTTGTCATGCCATGTGGCTGGCATGACAAAACGCCAACAGCGCACAGAATGCTGTTACCTTCCCACCAAAGGTGATCCCTATTTTTCTACTTGCATTTTTACGTGCTTTCAAACTGCTAGGTTGGCAGAAGCTGAGACAAGTAACGGGAGCTCACCCCATTACGCAGCACTAGGGATTTGAACTGCTGAACTGCCGACCTTTCAATTGACAAGCTCAGTGTCTTAGCCACTGAGCCACCGCATCCCTATCCCATGTATTGGGGGGAGGGGGAATGTTTTTTATGGCTTTTCCCAAACCAAGTTAAAACGTATGGGATTACAAAACAAGAATAGTTTTTAAAAACAAAAGAAAGAAAAGCATTACAGTCAATTTACAACCACTCTTTCAGCATATTTTTTTAAAAGTTATGACACCACTGAAAAAATGATGACTCTCATAGCATCAGCCATTGCGAACTTCCCAGCCAACTTTGACAAGCAAAATCATTGGGGAAGGTGGCAGGAAAAGTTGCAAGTCCCAGTCATGTGATGTCTCACTTAATCACTGGTGAGTCGCTTAACAACTGCAGCAGAAATAGGTTGTAAAGTTGAGTGTGATCACATGTTGCCTCATGTAACAATGCTTAACAACGAATTCTCTGGTGCCCATTGTAGTTGTAAATCAAGGACTACTTGTATAACAAAAGTCATATGACTCACCCCCTCTCTTTCATTGTCCCCCATATTTTTTTAAAATGTATTTCGCACGTATTTAAACTTTAATTATTAATGATTGCAAAACTTTTCAAACTATAGAAAGTTAGTCATGATCATGGACCTTGAGCAGCCTGAAACTCAACAAGTACAAGTATATAAAAGTTCAACCTCTTTTGGAGGGAGGACATTTAATCCTTTTTTTTTTTTTTTTTAAGAAAGGAGAGAAATTCGTTCAACCTGTTTTGGAGAGAGATATTCCTTCATGCGCTGGAAGCTCTGAAATCCGGAGCAGGTCACCTAACAGTGCAAGGCCGCTTGCCTGCCGGTCATCTGGGAAAAAGGTACAGGTAGGTCACAATTAGTGTGAGTTTGAGTAACGAACTGTTCAATTTAGTGTGGACTGCTTCTTTCCAATTATCCATGACCTCCTTTGCCTGTTTGGATATCTAGTATCTTGCATCTCGTTAGCCCTATCTTTTCTGCTGCAATTTAACTTAGGAAACAAGTTTGTGCAAGACTTTTCCTGAGTCACAAGCCTGAAGTTTGGGAGATTGGTCATTAAATTTATTCTTGCTGAGTTTCAAAATATAATATTATTTCAATTTTGTTGTATTTTTATTTTATTTTCCTAATAAAATTAGGAATGCATTTTAATCTGGTCTGGGCCACACCTGGGAGTGTTGTGGGTTTCATGTTTGAACATTGGAGTGGGTGCCATCAATACACTGATGATACCTAGACTACTTTATCCTTATTTAAGTCTAAGCAAGCAGTCATTACTCTTCATCTAAGCTTGATGATAGGCTACAACAAAACCCCAACAAAATGAAGATCCAATAGGAAATCAGGGCTGAATGGGATCACTTTCTCATAGCTTGGGAAGGACCCTTGATCCTCAACTATTATTGGATTCCCAGAATCCAGAGGGCAGCCATAGCAAAGAATCCATTTCCACCATTATAACTATTGGGCCAACCGTTCATGGGCTCATAGTTACCAACTATTCACACTTCAGCAGACAGTAGCATCTAGTTGATTTTGAAAAAGGGAAGCAGGGTTGAACCTGATGTAGGAAAGTAATTTAATAGTTAATAGTAGGGAATTTGGCTTAAGGGAACTTTTTAAGTCACTCTTATTATATTATAAATGACTGCTATAAGTGCTTTCTGTGGAATGGAATGGAATGGAATGGAATGGAATGGAATGGAATGGAATGGAATGGAATAGAATTCTTTATTGGCCAAGCATGATTGGACACACAAGGAATTTGTCTTGATGCATATGCTCTCGGTGTACATAAAAGAAAAGATACATTCGTCAAGAATCATAAGGTACAACACTTAATGAACTACTCTTTAAAGTATCTAAGAGCCAAGTTGGTATAGTGGTTCAGCTGCTGGCCTAGAAACTAGGAGACTGTGAGTTCTAGTTCCGTTTTAGCAATGAAAGCCAGCTGAGTGATCTTGGGCAATCACTCACTCTCTCTCAGCCCAACTCACTTCACAGGTTTGCTGTGGGGGAGGAAAAGGACGAAGAAGTATTATGTAGGTTTGCTGCCTTGTTACTTAAAATTAATAAATAAATAACTCTGAAAGCTTCACTCTGAAATTCCTTAAATCTCTATTTTTTCCAACCAGCCCAAGAAAAAAACAAAACCCTATGTCTTTTTAATCCAGTACATTCTATGATACACATTCTTGGCCATCCTTTTACTTCAATCTCAATCTGTCAAGAATATTGTTTCTTTTCTCTGCTTTTACTGATAAAATATATCTATTCGTACTGTATTTTTTTGAGATCTTGAGTGAGATTATCCCTCATCTTCCATCCCCTTGGGCCTTCTGCTACCAGTCTTTTTCAGTCAGCAGGTTCTTTGTTCGTCTAACATTTCTGAGACCCATGTCAGCATTTTCCTCTGAACCTTCAACTTAATAATTGCCTTGCCAGCAGATTCTGTCTGAGAAGTCACAAATACTGAACTCAATATTCACAACAGCTTGGACAATGGCTAAGACAGGTTCAAAGCAAAAGTGGCAAGATTAATTACATTTCCATTTGCATGCCCGGAATTCCTCATACAATTTAAACAATACACAGACCAAATGCAACCAAGGAACACAATATTATTATGTGCCTCAGTCTTCCCTGACTAAATGTCCATCATGTATGTGGGAACTACAATCTCCTAGATTCCTAGTTACAATGGCAATGGTGTACCTGCCTGTGAAATTGAAAATCTATATACCATTAGTACATCTGAAGGTAGGGTTACCAGATATCCAAACAGACCAATGAGGACATGGAAAATTGGAAAAGAGGACAAATGGTGGGACACATTGAAGAGGACACTTTAACTATTTAACCTTCTCAGCATCCCAGACAAAAATGACAGCAAAAAACTGCAAAAAAAGTACTTAGATCTATACATACAGTATATGAAACTACCGTACTTTTCCCAGCATCAGAAAGACTGGTTCTTCAGTGACAGAAATGTGCTAGAGATTTAGGATGCAAAGGCCTTCAGAGTGTAACTGATTATGGCCTTGTGGGTGCTTTGGTGCTTTCTGAATTTGATTATTTTCTTGCAGATGTTTCATTACCCAACTGAGTAACATCATCAGTGCTAGAAGGGAGTGGGGTTTGCTCTCTGTTTATATACAAGTGGCTTGCTCTGCCTGTTGATGGAAGTAGTTTGGTGATTCCTTGATTAGATTGTTGTTTATTGTTTGTTTGTTTGTTTGTTTGATTGATTGATTGATTGATTGATTGATTGATTGAATTGGTAGTTCCTTGATTGTTGTTTACTTCCCATTGTTTTAGGTCTAGTGGTGGGCTGTTGGTCTAGTGTTAATCTTGGTGTTAATCTCTGCTTATCTGGGTGTTGATTGCTGGTGAGATATTTTGTTTCCTTTTTAGCTTTTTGATTGTCTTTTTTGAATGGTATGCAAATGTTGTTTATTTGTATGTGCCTGTTGATGGCTGATTACCTATTGTTTTTGTATTTGGCTTGGTTAGGATGCTCACAGTTTCCCAGTTGAAACTATGCTTAAGTCTGTCCATGTCCATGGCAATTATGGAGTTTTCATCATGTCTTCTGACTGCTAGTTGGTGTTCATAGATGATTATGGCTTTGTCAATTTCTGGTAGCAGCCAAGCTAGCCCAAAGGTAGTAATCAATTATTTTATTTGCCTGCTAGGCATGAAGACAAAAAAGGAAGACTTTTGCTGGATGTCTGGTAACCCTATCTGGAAAGGCACAGGTTGTATCTTGTCTTACTAGCATCCCAATATGAAGCCATCTTGACCAATCAACATTCCTGCAAATTGATTAAAGAATTGTTGGGTAAATTAATGCAGGAAAGAAGTGACTAGGATTGTCCAACTGAAGTCGGTTTAGAATTCATAATGTGAATTGTAGAAGCATATTTATAGACAGCTGATCTTGTAACCAAGGTTAGTTCTTCCTTAAATATTCCTAATTCATGATTATGCAATCACCAACATGAAGAAATTAAGGAATTAAACCAAATCCAAGAGGAAGAGGATATCTTGCAGAAATTGCAGCTGAATTAGTGCTACCACTTCACAGGACACTTTCTCAGGGCTCAGACAGATATATGCAAACCACCGACCACCAAGCTAAAGATACTTCAATTTTCCAGCTTTATGCAGTTTCCAATGATAGCTACTCTCTAGCTATTGGAAAGATCATGAGAATTGTTCTTGGTTAATTTCCACACAGAGGAAAAGTAGCTGGAGAAATGAAATGGGTGAAATGGCATGTGAGAACTTTTGCATACACACACACACATACAAAGAGTAGTCATGTTTATACAATACCCTAAGGCAATGTTTCTCAGCCTTGGCAACTTTAAGATATATAGACTTCAATTTCCAAAATTGGGAGTTGAAGTCTGCATATCTTAAAGTTGCCAGGGTTCAGAAACACTGCCCTAAGGAGTTCAAATACATGAGAAGCAAACTTCATTGCTTACAATAATGGCGACTATAAATTGTGTATAAATAGCCCTTCTAAACAATGATACTGCCCATGTTTACACATTCTTTTGCTATGTAGTCTCTGGGAAGAATCAAGTAAATGAAATGTTTTTGATTCTTTCAACATACGATTCAGAATTTGAATAGGCAAAAAAAAAATGAACAAGGCTTTTTTTTTTTAATATTGTACATCTTTGCACATTTAATCTAGAAAAGCCTGCTGCAGCTTACATTTAAAAATCGGGTTACATGTATTATTTGTAGCAACAATAATTTTATTTGCAGACTTCTTATCTTTGCTTCCTAACTTTAGCCACATGGAACACATGTCTGATGTATTATATAAATGCAAGGTAATATAGCAGTAGCACTTAGACTTATATATCACTTCACAGTACTTTACAGCCCTCTCTAAGTGGTTTTCAGAGACATCATATTGCCCCCAACAATCTGGGTCCTCATTTTACAGATCTTGGAAGGATGGAAGGCTGAGTCAAACTTGAGCCCCGTCAGGATCGAACTGCTGGCAGTCAGCAGAATTAGCCTGCAATACTACATTCTAACCACTGCGCCACCAGGGCACTTCTGTGCCACCAGGGCTCTTATAAATATAAATGTAAACATGCAGAACAATCTTTAGCAATAATCCCTAACAGCAAGGATGGGAATGCATACTGTATTATACAAAATACACTTTTATAAAGTGGTCATATCCAAATTAGGTCAGAACTAAGTCACTGAGTAACTGTAATCCAGAAGTCATGGACTTAAATATGCAAAATTGATTATTTGGTCCAAATGAACACTAGGATGGAGTCTAATTTAGAAGAATTTTGCAGCTGTTGCTGTGTTTCATTTCCCAGCACAGAACTATAGCTCAAAATACAGAACACAAAATACCGAGTCAGATCTGATTCCCTATTTATAGAACTAGGCCAATAATAGCAACAGAGAAAAAAGAGAGAGTTTTAGGAAAAACGCATTGTTGATTTCAGCTTAGTTTTTTTTTTCTTTTAAAATCAACATTTGAAAACATTTGTACTTACCTGTAAAAGTCTTGTCCTCACAGAGCTGCTAGTTTCAGTTTGTTGAAATGTCACAATAGTTTGCAGGAAATGAATTCTGTGCCAGACAAAGTACATTTTTACAGGCTAAATCTATCTCCACCCACAGAAGCCCTGATTTGGCAAGTACTGGATTTCTGCTTTGAACAAAACAAGAACAATTGGTGACAAAACTGGCAGGTCTTCAATGGAGCTGAACACTGAAAACTCTTGCTCCGCTTTCATTTTTGAATTGGGTTAATCCTGCCATTGCTTGTTTTTATGACTGTGTGGAGAGAATACAGCTTTGGGCATTTAATTTAAAAAGTAGAATGTGCTTACTTTCACAGCAGAATATGGGTTTATTTTTTTTTCCACCTTGTAACATTCTGCTGTCCAGGCAAAAAGTAAAATTGAAAAAAAGCAGTATATCAGAATGGTTAAATAGTTTTTAAAAGTGTAGTTAAACTATTGTGTAGTGGGCTTCAGGAGGCAAGAACCAGACCAGCATAGCTACAACTGCATTTATTGACTGAAAACTGGAATTGAGGAACAGCAGGCAAATGCCTGTAATTTATACTCTAGGCCCACAGGGCCTTAATCAATCATAGTATTTGAAAATGCCCACCCAAATATGAATCAAGTTTCCCTCCAAAACAGTTGGAGTTAACAGTTAGGGTCATCTAAAGGTTAGTTTCACTTTAAGTAAAGGTGCTCATTTCCTTTTCAAAGCCGAAGAGTCAGTGCTGTCCGAAGACGTCTCCGTGGTCATGTGGCCAGCATGACTAAATGCCAAAGGCACACGGAATGCTGTTACCTTCCCACCACAATTATTTTTCTAATTGCATTTTTTACGTGCTTTCGAACTGCTAAGTTGGCAGAAGCTGGGACAAGTAACGGAAGTTCACCCTGTTACACAAGATTCGTGTAGGGATTCAAACCACTGAACTGCCGACCTTTCAACTGACAAGCTCAGTTTCTTAGCCACTGAGCCACCATGTCCCTTTAGTTTCACTTTAGCAGGGCTTAACACAACTATATATATTCAATACATAACATAAACATTAACTTTCTGCTCTGTTAGTTCCATCTACAGCCCTTCCCTCTCCCCACTAGCCTTGTTTCAGGTAAGAGTTTACGTGATTCAGTATTTTTCTGTATAAAACAATTAAAAGTACAGTGAAAAATAAAACTTACCCTGTTTCCCCAAAAATAAGACATGCCCTGATAATAAGCCCAATCGGGCTTTTGAGTGCATGCGCTAAAATAAGCCTCCCCCCAAAAATAAGCTTCATTTGGGGATAGAACCGGTGACATTCAGCTGTGGGAGTCTGAATCTCTTTTCCTATCTAATTAACTTTCCACACTGGACTAGTATTCCTGCAAGATGTTTTTCAATCCAAGTTAATGCTTCTTTAGAAGTAATCACCAGAGCTTCTAGTTATTGTGCAAGACCTCTCAAGTATCTCAGAAAGTATAGGCTGGACCATGGAGGACACCATCTAGAGCAGGGCTGTCAAACTCGATTGCACTGAGGGCCACATCAGGGTTGTGTTTGACTTCAGGGGGCCAGGGTGGGCGTGGCCAGGGTGGGCGTGGCCAATTCAACATCACTCATGTCGGGGTGGCATGTGGTGGCGTCAGCACTCTGCCAGCGAAAACGGGCTCCCGAGCTCCAGTTTTGGCTGCAATGGCCTCCTGCAATCCTCTGTCAGAGAAAACTGAGCTCAAGAGGGCCGTACAAGGCTGATCCTTCGTTGTTTCCAGGTTGGTCCTGCGGGTTGGATCTAAGTACCCTGAGGGCCAAATTTAGCCCGTGGGCCTTGAATTTGACACCCCTGATCTAGAGTTTCCAATTTTAATGGCAGACGGCAGCTACACCTGTATGTTGGCATTATATTCTTGGCAACTCCTCCAGTATTTTAAAAGAAGCTGGCAATAGAATGAAGTGTTTTTCCTTCCTTCTCTTTAAATCTAATCTGTGAGACTCTGCTTCAAAAGGTTACTGTAGAAACAGTAACATAACTGCAAACCACTCTCATTTTTTTGCAGAGAATAAAAGTGCCAGAAAGGGCTAGTCTTGAGAAACAAAAGAAAGCAATGGAATTATTTTTCCAGAGTCATTATGTAGGGAAAAAACAGGGAATCAGGAATGCATTCAGCTCACATATTCCCTTTATTGCCTATTGCAACCAGTTTATATAAGTGATACAGTGGATTCGCAAAAGATAGCATCAGCCATCCAAAATGTCACTCTCCACCTTAAACATGTCGAAATATACACTGCTGATGAAAACTGCTACCTCAAAACCATCAGTTCACAGAGACAGTTTATATGTCACTCTGGTTTTTGGTCTTTGCAATCATTTGAGTTGGCTGATATACTCGAAAAGGCAACTGGAGGTGTTTGCATAGTATCTCTATGGAAATCCCATTCACATCAACTATGTTTTACGGCTCTCAACATTGCAGTAATTACTTGAGCTGGAGTTATTTCAAGCTGCAATGGCTTTATGTGGACAGACTTAAAAAAAAAAAAAAGATTGTGTATTGAAATTTACAACTCCAGTCAATGTTTTCAATCATTTTTCTGAAGAGTTCCCAGTCAGTATTCCTAACAAGAAGTGGCATTCTAAGACTTTCTTGGGCATTTTATTAAATCCTAGTAGGTTTACTACCTATTATGTTTATTAATAATACTTAATATGAAATATGGAAACATTGCTCAAAATATGAAGCAGCCTCATGGATGTTGGAAAATTACTGTGGGCAATTGCTTGCTCTATTTTTTTTTTTTTTAAATTTGATTTATATGCCGCCCTTCTCCGGAGACTCGGGGCGGCTTACAATGCATTAAGCAACAGCCTTCATTCTTTTGTATATTTTATACAAAGTCAGCTTATTGCCCCCACAAACTGGGTCCTCATATTTACCCAGGAACAAAGAATTTTGACTGATGGGGCCTATCAGTCTTCCATTGCCACTGTTCTGAAGAACATTCTGGCACCAGAGGAGAGGGAATGAGTTAAAACATGGCTCTGCACTCTTGCTTGGGGTTCAGACACGGTCACAGAGCTGTGGGCTTGGCTAATGCCCTGAAGGCCTTACTACCACCTTTTAACTAATTTTACCCTGATTTTAAACTTATCCTTGATTTTTAACTTTTATATATCGCTTTTATAGTCTGATTTTTTTCCTGTGTACATCACTCAGAATCCCTCAGGGAGCTGAGCGGTTTTTTAAAAAAAATGATAAATAATAAA